ATTTCTTGTTAAATTTCGATTCTATGTTTTTTACTAGTTTGATTTATTTCGCATCAGTTCTGAAGATAGGGGAGAAACCAGAAATGGGAACAAGTTCTTTAGCTTGGTTGAGAGCTAGAGGCAATAAACTTAAGAGAAACGTAGTCCCTATAAGTTCTACACAGTGTATTAGAAAACAGTTTTGTTAAGCAGCGGTTATTTTTAAGCAATTGGATCCGAGCAGCACCACGTAACTGCATTTTTCTTGCTCGAAACTTCCGTGTAATATTGCTGTAAAAATGTAAGGAAAATAACTTCGAGAAACTGCCCTACCACCTACAGAAAACTCGTGAACCTAGGTATTGAAGTAATTTTTAGCTACCCCCCTATTGTCTCAGTTCCGTACTCTGTTCAGGTAGGATGATTCAATATATACCGCTTACATTTAACAACACTCGAGATGAAACGAAAAGTTTTATCCACAGTAAACCATTTTATTCAAGTGTTGATACCTGTAAATCCCCCATAGTTTTAGTTGTGCTATATTACAATCCTGTGGGTAAGAAAGGTAGGAGAGAAAAAGCTCACAATTGCTCAGGGATTTCAAGAACCTCTAGCGGCTCATATAAAGTGCTCTCCAGAGACTTCCCCAGCAGCTTGGGGTGTTTTAACTGCTTAGCTTTAAAAATATTTGTCCCTTCTCTGGAAAAATTCATGTACATTATCCCTTAAAACATAGGAGAGGCGCTAAAAAATAAAACACGTTCTCTCCACTTTTTAAACTGGATGCCTTAAAAAAGTGTTGCCTGAAACACTTCAAAGGGCATTAGATTCTAATCTGAGATAAATGTTCCTAAAACCCTCATATCGATCCACTGAACAGAAATCACTGGGAGTAAGAAGCAAGGGTGAACACAACCTGCAGAACACACCAGGGATTCAAATGTTTGATAAATACTGATGTAGTCATTGCGTGGTTGCCATATTCCTTGGCAAAAACCTGTTCACACTTTTCAGTCACCACTCCAGACATTTTCTTCTTTTTTTCCTGATTGCCGTCTTGCTGGAAAACTTTCCCAGAACTGTTGGTCATGCTCCATACAAAACTAGCTTCACTTATTCCCTCAATTCAGGACACCAAATAATGGGATTTTACATTTCCATCTTTATCAGCGTTTAAGAAATACACTTTAAGAGGAGGTCAAATGAGAACAGAAAATCAAGTCCTAGAAAAATAAATGTTTAGGGCAACAGTGTCCTCAGCTAGTCCCCTTGTTTTTGCTCATTTTATCCCTCTAATTTACCACCATAAAATCCCAAACATTGTCTTCCCGCCTAGTTTTCACAATCTCCGGCCTGCCCCACCCAATCAAACACAGATAATTCCTTTCCTACTTTTTGTACTAAATCTACTGCTTTCCAATTCTTAGTCCCCATGAAACATTTCCCTGCCTTTGCTCATTCATGCCTTGCTTGGCCCCATTGACAGAAGAGGCAGATTGCTGGACCCTGAGAAGTTCAGGTAAAGCATGAAGATGGGGATTGAGAGGAAGGACAAGAGGGAAGAGGCTGAGTTTTTACAGGGCAGGAATATTAACAAAGTTTTCAGAGGCACAGAATGTTGGCTAGATAACCTAATCGCATGTGGAGGAGCCAGTGGTGGACACTTGGTTCTGGAGACTCTCAGGATGGAAGTAGTTTATCAGTATCCTAGCACCGCTGGAATAGAGTCCCACAAACTGGGGCCCTTAAAACAACAGAAATGTATTCTCTCAGTTCTGAAGGCTGGAAGCGTGAAGTGAAGGTGTCAGCAAGGCCATCGTGTCTCCGCAGGCTCCAGGAAGGCTCCTTCCTTGCCTCTTCTCTAGCTTCTGCTGGTTGCTGACAATTCTTAGGATTCTGTAGCTTGTAGCTTGTGGTGTTCTCCCGTGTGTGTGTCTGCATCTTCATATGGCTGTCTTATAAGGACACCATTGATTGGATTTAGGACTTACCCTAACCCGGTATGATCTAATCTTAACTTTAATTACAACTGCAAAAACCCTATTTCCAAATAAGATCACATTCTGAGGTTCCAGGTAGTCATGAATTTTTTGGGAACCACTATTCAACCTAATGTTAACTGTGTGCCGTCACGTAGATTCTAAATCACAGGACCCTAGAGAACAGAGAAGAACTGCCCCATAGGGTTTCCTGGGGTGAAATCTTTATGCAAGCAGATCACCAGGTCTTTTCTCCCATGGAGTGGCTGCTGGGTTTGAACCGCCAGCCCTTTCGTTAGCAGACGAGCACTTAACGATCGTGTCACCAGGGAGGCTTCATTCAACTCAATATAGTTAGTAAAGCAGAAAACGGATAGTCTTGAAAAAGATGGAGAAGGTGACTCAGTGTAACTGTATTACCCATCAATGGCTAGCTCCCTTTCTCACCCAAATTCACACACACAGGTGAGAAAGCAAACCTGACACCTTGTTTTGGCTCCATCTTGAGTAATTATACACATCACTTCCTGCAGTAAGGGATAGGGAAAAAACCAAAAACAGAGAAGAAACTTGTGCCCGGAGATAAACAAAGCTTGCTGGGATACAGCAATCAATAGAGCAGAAAACGTCCCAGCCCCCACAGAGCTACATTCTAGTTGAGGGACACTGACTATAAGTAAAGAAAGAAAGAAATTGATAATATTCAGGGGATGACATGTGCTATGAAGAAAAAGTAAAGCAGAATTTGGAGTTGGATGTGGAAGACAGGTTTGATCAGGTGATACATGAGCAGAGGCCTGAATACTGTTAGAGAGTGAGCCATAACGATATCCTGGGGAACAGTATTCCAAGAACAGAAAACAGCAAGCGCAAAGGCTCTGAGGCAGGTGAATGTTTGGCAAGTTCGAGGAGTAAGCACGGAGGCCAGTATGGCTGAAGCACAGTGAGCAAAGAAAAGAGTCATAGGAAATGAGTATTTGAGGGGCCATCATAAAGATTTTGCCTTTTATTCTAAATGAGATGGAGTGCCTTTGGAGAGTCTGATCAGAGGAGTGAGAGGATTTATGTTTTTAAAAGCTCACCCTGGATGTTAGGTGCAAAGCGGACTATAAGGGAGCAAGAGCAGAGGCAGGGAGAATAATGAGGAGGCTATAGTAGTAGTTGAGGAGAGAAATGATGGGCATTAGCAGTGGAGATGGTGAGAAGTAGTTGTTATGGATTGAATTGTGTCCCCTCAAAATATGTGACAATTTGGCTAGGCCATGAGTCCCAGTATTGTGTGGTTGTCCTCCATTTTGTGATCTGATGTAATGTGTTGTAAATCCTAGCTTCTATGATGTTAATGAGGCAGGATTAGGGGCAATTATGTTAATGAGGCAGGACCCAGTCTACATTAGGTTATATCTTTAGTCAATCTCTTTTTGACTCAAGATACAACCTAAGCCTGTGGATCTTTTTGACTCAAGACACAACTTAATCCTGTAGAAATGAGCAGAGAGGAGGGGGACCTCCTACCACTAAGAAAGAAGGGCCAGGAGTGGGGTGTATCCTTTGGACCCGGTGTCATGGACTGAATTGTGTCCCTCAAAAATATCCATCAATGTGGTTATGCCATGATTCCCAGTATTGTGTGATTGTCCACCATTTTGTCATCTGATGTGATTTTCCTGTGTGTTGTAAATCTGGCCTGTATGATGTTAATGAGGTAGGATTAGCATCTGTTACGTTAATGAGGCAGGAATCAATCTACAAGATTAGATTTTGTCTAAAGCCAATCTCTTTTGAGATATAAAAGAGAGAAGGGAGCAGAGAGATAGGGGGACCTTATACCACCAAGAAAGCAGCATTGGGAGCAGAGCGTGTCCTTTGGATCCAGAGTTACTGTGCAGAGAAACTCCTAAGCCAGGGGAAGATTGATAACAAGGACCTTTCTCCAGAACCAAGAGAGAGAGAGAAAGACTTCCCCTGGAGCTGATGCCCTGAATTTGGACTTCTCGCCTACTAAACTGTGAGAAAATAAATT